TGCAACATCATCGAACAAGTAGAGATACGTGGATTTAAATTAAATGGATTATTTAGAAAATATACATTTGATTACAGGCAACGTGTTTCGAAAGATTTCTATATTTAAGATACATATATATGGCGTGCATTTTAATTGTTACATCACATATAAAAATAAAGGCGAGATTTTTATATGTATAGATTGATTAGTTGAAAATAAGCATAAATAAAATAAATTTTTTATATATCATGTTTAAATTTCTTTATATTTGTTAAACACTCACAGAATTATTTCAAACACTGTTTCTATTTTTTAATTACATTTAAATTCTCAGAAAATAACAGATTAATCAATTATATTTCTAATCATTTGGAACAAAATTATTTTACAAGTGTTATTGTATATTATTCTCTGTTGATGAAATTACACAGCATTTCTATTTTGCTCAATAAATTGGGAAACAGATGAATTTAATGATTAAAATTAAATTTTTCATCGGTTAAGTGGTATAAGTCAATATTTCACGATAGATTTCAATATTTAATAATTTTATACATATTTTATGTGTTTAAACATTTTTCGTAATCTATAAAAAAAAAACCACAAGAAACAATAATAGCTTTAAACCAATGAATTTACGCGATCAAAACAGTTTATTTTGTTAACTGCGAGTAGTACAGGTCAATAACTAGTCAGGCGTGAAATTCGAGAAATCGATACTAAAGCCTAATCGATATCGTAACTTCATCAAAGGATTCAAGTAGCCAATAGCATAATTGTGCAGAATCTGGTAATCAGTACTTTGTTCGAATTTCCATGCAAGTAGTTTGAAACAATAGTTAGTCGGCCCTTCCTCGAAACATACCTGCAATTATAACTGCAGATTTCACTCGTTAATAATTTAATTGCCATTTATGCTGTACAACTTTTGCTGAACGATTTCTATTATTCTTCCTTATATTTTGTTTATGGAACGTTTATAACATCCATTGAATTTTGGAGAAAATTTTGGAAAATATTTTTTCTCTGAGTTTTAAAAAACAATTGAATTATTTGAAATTTTTTTCTTACTTATTTAAGACAAAAGATGGAAGTTTGAATCCAGATTTTCTTAAGAATTTTGTTTAACTCTCTTTAAAATCTTTAAATGAATAGATTCATATTTTTAAATTTCACAATGCTATATCTAATTATTAATGCAAAAGTAAAATTTATATAGATAAATACAAATATTTTAATTCTACAATGACAATTTACTGTTTGAAAATAAAATATAACACATAATAAAAAATTAAAAATTTTGTCTTAAAAATTTCTACATTTACAAAATACTTATTTTAAAAAAACTATTTAAAAAAAAAAGTCTAAAATTCATTTAGATTCATTCACTATATTTTTAATAACCATTAATATTTCAAACTTAATCTATTTACACAATCTAGAATAAAACACGATAAAAACGCATAAGAAAAAGACAAAAATCCAAAGGATAAAAGTGGAGTGACTAGAAATAGTAAAAGAAAAAAAATAAAAAATAAAAAACAGATTTTTTCCAGTATTCTCAGGAAGCTATTGTGTATACAAAAAATCACGAGAGAAAGAGAGCCGTGAAATCGGAATCTCTGGTCCGTTTTCGCGTCTGCAATGTTTTCCAATTTCCAATAAAATATTTTTCCTCGTCCACACCGGTGTATCCTTCTGCTCGGCTTTCTATATAAGAGCCAACTTTTCCAATTTCCCGCGAATCGCCGGCTATTCGGAATTCGATGTACACACAAGCATCTACTCCTCCACTGGAATTCGGGTGAAACGAATATATGGCGGAAGACAAATCGTTGCTGGCTTCCCTCTTTAAGTAAGTCTCTCGTATATAAATGGTGGAAGTGAAATTTTTCTTTTTACGATGATATTTTATATTTATAGTGAGATTTTAATTAGAATTTGGATTTTTTTGAATCGAATTTTCGAGGTGATGAAATTTGAAGGGAAAGAATTTATTGTTTTGACTCTGTGAGTTTTTAATTTTTAGATATTTTTTATGATCGTTTTGTTTGGAAAAAAACGATCTTCGTTCCTCCATTTTAATATTACAAAACTATAATTTAATATCGTAGAATATTATATATTTTTAATTTTTATACTAATACATGTATAATATCAATCTTTTAATTTTTATTCTTAATCGATTTGTTGATCAATGAAACATTTCTGTATTAATATAATACAATATATAATGTTAATCTCCTAATTTAAAATAACTTTTTATTTTTCTATCCAATCTTGAATATTCTTTATCGTTTTTTAATCCAATCCAGAATTTATTAAATGTCAAAATCACGTATTCCTTTTGTCCAAAGTGAAATTGCGTTACAAGTTTAATTCGACCGTCACCAACGCTTTTAACTTAACCGGAAGTTCCGAAGATTGCCGCCTACACCTTCGCTTCAATTCGACGATTTTAATTCTGACTTCGTCGCGAACTCCTGCCCTCTGTGGAAAATGAACACACTAATTACCACGAAACCGGCGCAGTCTAGTAAATTATTTCACTAGGGACCTGAACGACGCTTGAACATATTAAGTTTGTGCATTTAACTTTTAAGCATTATCTTCTTCTGAATACCAAAGATTCTGCTCCAATAAGTCGGGTTTCTCTCTTTAAATATCTTTTATCTACATAACAATCCTAATAACTTAAATAATCACTTTCATAATTAAAATTCTTTTCAATTATTTTTTTCAAACGAATTGAAAAATTCTTAATGTATTTTTAATAATTTAATAATTATATTAATATTTCGTATTAAATACTAATGTTCCTGAAATCTTCAAGAAAGTAGTAAATATACTTATCTCTTTCTTTAAGAAAAAATTGATTATTGAAAAATGATCTTGAGTTCCAAATGCTCTTAAAACAAAATGAAAACACTATGCTCATGAAATCGAAAAAAAAAAAAAATTTTAAAAATGTACTTGATTACACTAAAAATTGCATAATTTATAAACTACGTTCAATCACAATTAATATCAACATTATAATTAACAATTGTCGTACGAAAATTATCCGTGTTTAATTTAATGAAACTTTTTTCTCTAATTAAACATAAAAAATTAATATAATTTAACTTGCTACATTATCTCAATCTCACATTATTTTCAATTAAGATAAAATTACGTGGAACGGAAACTTTTGGCAATCATTATTATAGTCAGGTATAGCCTCTTTTAGGTTAGAATCGAGAGAAACTCTCCACGAATACGTTTCCGGAAGTTTCGAAGGAAACGATAGAAACTTTCGAAATCCGCTTCCTCGGTTTATATTGTTTCACGGTTGTGTATCGTGTTCCTTTGGACCAGGATAAGAACGCCTTTCCGGTGTGGAATTTCCGCCGTGTCGAACCCGTGTCGAGGTTATTCGAAAATTTGTATGGAGAGTAATTTTTAACGAGCTTTAAATTATTCTTGTGGGAAATATGTCTTCTCTTTTTTGTTTCTTGTAACTATTTATTATGTTTATTCTTTGTATATTTATTTGTTTAAATTTTTAAAAGTTTTTTTTTAGGTTATGTTCTCTTGAATATTTATTTCTTTTATTACCTTTTTCATAATCTTGTATTTGCTTTGATTTAGATTTTTTAAGAGTAAGTTTATATTGTATTCTTGAAATTTGTTGTTGAATGTTTCAGATTATTATTATTTTTTTTATATATAAGTTTTGTATTTTAATTATTCAAAGATGTCAGTTTAAATTCCACTGCAATTTAACTTCTTTCTATCCTTTCTTTTAAATTTCAACATTTCAAATCCAATGATTTTTCAAAAATTCCATCCCTTATTTTTATAATAAATTCGTAATAAAAAATTTCCAAGAATCAATGTAAAATTTCTTCTTTTTTTTTTTTTTACAGATTTTCGAAAAATTTCGACGAATCGATGCAAAGATTTTTTTCCACAACTCTATTTACGGTAAAATTTCTCTCATCAATAACCAAAAATTTCGGATCGATGTTGTTTGCAAAGGTTTCTCTTTTCTCCCTTCTTTTTTTTTTTTTTACTCGAATTTACCGATTTGCATAGCGTTGAAATTCTGTTGGAAGTGTCGTTGCCTCTCGGCGTTTCAAAGTTCAAAGCCGAGGCATCTTGGAAAGTTGGCGGTCCCCCCTCCCTTCGACTTCAAAGCGGAAACGAGTCGGTAATTTCTACTTTGGCAAGCAATTTTCCGTGGGCTAAATTACCTGGCCGTTTAAAGGTGCGATACACTCGATTTATCTCTGATCGAGCCGAGATTTCGCTTCGTTTATTGCTTTGACTCTCTTTGTCGTTTATGGTAATTAAAAGATTGCTCGTTGATACATATTATTTTACTTTTTAATGATTATCTATCTATGATTACCGGAATTGATATTGTTATTTTAATTTCGATTTCGATTCCGAGATGTATGATGTATAATTTATTGAATTTTTCAATAAATTCATTTATTGATTTATAAATTAATTTATAAAATTTGTATGATTTGATAAATTAATTTTGCGATTGAATAAGTAGAGAAAAGATTATGTAGAAAATATTATAAATTTATATTCTGAATTAAATATATTATACAGTAGTTTTTTTTTTTTTATCGAAATTACCACTTTTAACGAATTAATCATATTTCATTGAATTTATAATTTCTAACAAATTATTTTCCACTAAATTCTGTTACTAAATACAGAGATAATTAATATTTAGAATTTATATCACGTTGTATATTTCTTTTTGTTTTTTTTTTTTGAAGATAATTTATATTATCTCGACAATAAATCTTTCATCCATTTTTCAATTTACATTGTAATTATCCCTTATAATATATTCATAATTTTCACCACAACAAAATGATGATTTATCTTCCTATCGGCGGGGCGATTCGATCCGATTCTCCTCCTCCTGAATTTTTCATCAGAGATTTTATTTAGCATCGTTAATTTTTTATTCCATTGTTTGATCACACATTGACCCATATCTCGTGTTGTTCCAGGACTGGCACACGGTATCAGATGTTACAAATGCGGGCAGTACAACGAGGGAGTCGGCAGCATCACGCCGTGCATCAATTACACCGCTCACATGCATCTGAAGGAATGTCCACCCTCGGCCGAATGGTGCATCGTAAGTAAACACATATATTTTACGTTTTGCCAAAATGATGCAACATTTGATAATACGCGAAATTATGTAAAAATTCAATTCGGTTGAATCGATGCATTACGTAGCTTGGAAACAATATTTCCTTGATATATATATATTTTGAGATATAATTTAATTCTTACAAATAATATATGTAGGTTACTTCTGCATCCTCACTGACAAATTATTACAATTATCCAAATTGACGAGTAATTGCGTTATGATTAACATAAAATCCTTAAAAGAATGGATTTAATAATATAATACAGTAATATAATAGGGAATATGTGATGGAAAATTTGAGTGATCATCACGAGTGAAATTACTTGATAAACTATAATAATCTAATGGATTAATAACTACTAATTACAACTTTAATATTGATCCTACTCCGCTATTTAATATTCGTGAAAAAAAAGTTTGAAATTAAAAAAATATACAAATAATAAGACAAAAATAAGAATAAATAATATCTCCATATTTATAAAAAAAGAAGTTCAAGTATAATCCCATAAATATCCAACGAACGAGAAATAGAATAATAAATCCAATATAATTTTCAAAAATATTTGCAAAGTTTTGCGAATACACCGTTCGAATCACCGTTCCAATCCCGTTCGTTCAAATTGCACAAATTTATTCTCCCTTTCGCAACAATCAAGGAAAAAAAAAAAAAAAAAGAAGGAGCGCAAACCATTTGAATCGATTGAATCCAACCGGAAGTGGCATCAGATCGAAGCATCCGGTTGGCGAGGCTAACTTGCTGGCTAACAATCTGCTTGCTAAAACCAACATCCATCCAAATAATGCAATAATGATTTTGGAAGGGTGTCAAACGATCCAACGGCGCCGCCACTTCGACCAAGCCCCCCTTTTTTCCATTCCCTCCCCTCCCCCTCCCCCTTTTTTCCTTCCTTTGGATTCCAGTGTTTCCAGTTCGACGAGCTTCAGGATCGAAAGGTTTTGAAGGAACAAGGCGACTTGTTCTTTATTCCATTCGTGTTTCAGGGAGCACGTTTGATGGCTCCTCCTCCCTCCTCTTCCTATCGCGGTGAAGTATCGTTTCCAGGATTTTGTCCGCGTTTCCACAGCCTCGACACTCGAGTGGAGGAGAATACTCTCGCGTGCAATTCGGGTATCAGATATTGCTTGAAAGATTCCTCCAAACTTTTGGATAGCCGTTCGGAGCAAATTTGTGTGTTGTGCATTACAGTGGAGATCGATCTCGTACGATTTTTAGTTCTTTGACGATTGTTGATTCTAATTTCCTTAAAAGTAATAATTGTAATAAATAATTAAAATAATTGGATACATATGAAAAAAGTGGGAGGGAAGGAAGAATGATTTTAAATTTAAGAATGTTCTCGCGAATTGGAAATACGAAAACTGAAATATTAAAATATATTATAAGTTCAAATTTTCGAATGGAAAATAAAATTTTGGCCAATCCAATTTTCAAAATTTCCCCACTTCATTTTATAATCTTTATTTAAAGAATTTTATAATAGATACTTCATCTTGATTTCTTGATCGATCTCGTACGATTTTTAGTTCTTTCTAGATTGTTGATTCTAATTTCCTTAAAAGTAATAATTGTAATAAATAATTAAAATAATTGGATACATATGAAAAAAGTAGGAGAAGGGAAAGAATGATTTTAAATTTAAGAATGTTCTCGCGAATTGAAAACTAAAACATTACGTTCAAATATATTACGTTCAAATTTTCGAATGGAAAATAAAATTTTGGCGAATCAAATTTTCAAAATTTCCCCACTTTATTTTATAACAGATATTTCATCCTGATTTCTTCCAAATGATAGGAACCACATAGAAATTAAATATCATTAATAACAAATGCATTGAACATCATGAAATTTACCCGAACATTCTCAAACTCTCAAAAGATACGAGAGTATCAAGCCCAAGATAGGTCCAATATCTTCTAAAATTTCGGGAAACTCTCCAAAACTTTCTCAACCTCGTTCCCCCTTTCCCAAACTCGATCCTTTCGGAAAAATTTCGGTGAAACTCCAACATCCAATTAGCCGGATGTTGAGCGGTCGGAAATGTAAATCGGGAAGTCGACATCTCTTCCTTTCTCACTTTTCTCACTTTTCGATTTCGATTGGAAAAATCGAGGGTGGAAAATGTTGGATCGAGGTGGTGCTTCCGGTTTGGCTGATAATCGATTCCCTCGATCAAACGAGATCCGGGGGCGGGATGCTTGAAACTGTGTGTACACCTCCTCTCGTTCGAGGGATGAATGAAAATGGCGGATAAGTGGCTGCGTAGAATGGATTTGAGGCGCGAAAGGGGCGAAGAGAGGTGACAAATTGAAAATTGAGTTGTTCAGAAGATAGTAGACGATGATGGATATTTCTTTCTGGTGTATTTTATGGAAGAGGATGGAGTCGAATGATGGATCGATTGGGGGAAATTTTTTTTTGGGAGGAGGGGGATATTCATGCATGCACGTAAAATTTGTAACTTGAGAGCGTTGGTGGATAAAATTGTGTACAGAATGCGTGCAATTCAATTGAATTTTTCTCGTTATTTCTCATTTTTGTATTTTTCATAACAATATATATATATATTTTCTTTTTTGCGATTATTGTATATGAAAAAATTTATTATTTTCCAAATTCCTCGGTTGAGAAACTGCACGATATCTTTTTCCCCCCCAGGAGAAAAATTCTTCCAAAGGGGGGATTACTTAATGAACGAGATATTAGAGTTATTGAGATTTTTTAAAGAATTTTATTTTGAAATCGAAACTAGGTGGAAATAGAAGTAAGAGGCTCGAAGAAACTTTCAATAAACTGGGGGAGGGGAGGGAGTATTGTTTGACGGAAACTGGAGCAGTGTGCAAAGTCTCGGATCGTGATCGTTTAATTGCGGATAATCGTCGTTGTTTCCAAGTCGCGGTTCTGTTTCGTGTTTTTCCCATGGAATGGAGTGTCTCGAGACTTCGTGCAAAGTGCAGCAAGAACTTTTGTTTCGTGGGACTTTCCCCTCTTTTTTACGATATTGGAGATCATTTCAACCTTCTTCTTCTTCCAGCAGAAAATTATAACTCTCGAAGGGAAATTATATTGTCGAGTGTTTGGCATTTATCCATTTGCTTTTACTTTTTTTTTTCAAATGCTTTTATTAGTTAATGTAATTTGTGTAATGTATTTCTAAAAACAAATAAAATTTGGGTTACGTTTTCAAAAGTGAAACAATAATAATTCTAGAACAAAATTAATTATTGGGTTATTGAAATTATATTTAAAGGAGTTCAATGTAAAACATTTATTAATACTTTTTTTTTAATATTAATTGTGTTTATTCGTGAAAAACTGGATGTGAATATTGTTATATATTGTTTCTAAATTAACTTTTTTAAACGAGTCTTGATAATAAGATCTAGGAGAGAGGAATTCTTAAATATAATATAAAGAATTATTGATATTCTTTTTACCATAATTCTTATAATTTATATTATTTTATCATATCATTGTTTCATCACCATTATTAATCAATATAATTTCTAATCAGATTTCCTTTTAATAAGAACAATTCGAAGTAATTTTAATTTCTTTTCACATGTAATATTCTCAATTATTGAAGCTACATTTTCTTTTTTCTTATTTGCATTTTCTCTTTTCCCATTCGAATTATTATATTTACATACATAATATTATATTTTATCCCTTTTTATAAGTTGATGTTAATTACCTTTGAATTTACAATATTGCGTAAAGGAGATAGAAAATTGTAAAAAACATTCTCACCGTGTCAAATAATTTTTCCCTCAAAATCCACTGCAATCTTCAAAGATTTCTAATCACGGCCAATAACCATTCTACTCGTCTCATTCAATTCCAAAATTTTAATCGAAACAAACTATTTTCAAAAAATTATCCAAATCAAGGAAAGAGAAAGATCATGCTCATTCGATTAATTTCAATTTCACGGCAGTCGAGGAAACAGTTAATTAACCATAATTTCTCGGCACAATTAAAACAAATGGCAAACGATCTACTCGCCTTAGATAGCAAAGGCTTTGAATTTTCAACTCGGATCGGTTTGCCTGGAACCTGGATATTGATAACGTGAGAAAATAGTGATCCCTATATTCGCCCCATTTCTCGCTCCTGCGAGCTTTCTATTATTCCATTTCGGTTTACCAAACGAGCTTTCGCCCTCTATCATCCCACGGAGACCGGCCACAGGAGGGGAAGGATTTCGGGGCGAGAGAACGAGGAGGGGTGGGCTTCGAAGCCTGGGCAATTCGGTTAACCGGACAAAAGGTTGGGAAAATACTAGTAGAGGTTCGATCGTGATGTTGATTAGATGAACGAAGAATTGTATAAGTTTTAGTTTTTGACGAAATTGCTTTTTTCCCTAATCTTTCGTTTTATTTTTTAGGATAAATTTGTTTTTTTAAGCTTCTTTTTTAATCACGAGAATGAAAGTGGATGGTAAGAATAGTTTAAGTTTGAGTGATTTTGGAATTGTGGAATTTTTGTATAAATTGGAAAGATGATAGATTATACGTTTATTATTTCAAAATTCAATAAATTTCAAAATTATTTTTCAAAATTTAAAAATTAGGATCTTTCATTAAGGATTCGTTTTTACTTCGAAAGCTTGGAACATTCCAAATTTTCCGAAACTTTTTCAAATTTTATTTCACAATTCCAAAATTGGAATATTTATATTTTAAAATTACTTTTCGATTAAAAAGATTCTCAAAATTGAAATCTTCCATATTAATTCGCAAATTCTACGATCCAAAATCCAATCCACAATTCCGCTAAATTAACAACTAAATAATGGGCTAGCGATGGATCTAAACGTACCACGAGTAGGCTCGATCGAAAAACAAGATTCGAATTCTTAATAAATATCAAAAAACAAGATATTTTCAAGTAACACGGCAGGTACGAAGAAACAAAATCCTGAATTGCACTGTCCAATCCTCCAATACCCATC